TATGTTAAAAAAAAAAAAAAAAAACTTTTTAATCTGCTTTTTTGTTTTTTAATAGCCCCATCTATTTTTTTTCTTTCTGGTGCTAAGGGCAAATGTATCTTGCCATCTTCCTGCCCGTAGGAACGGATTTCCCAGACTTGCAGCCGCTCTAGGAGTAGGCACGCGGCTGTTTTGTGTCGCGCATGCCTCCGGCCATTGATAAGGTATTTCGTTTGTTCTATAAACAGGACCGCTGGGTCCATGGCAGTGTCCGGGGATTGTTCTCCTCTGCTTGACAAGCGCCCTTGGCATTATGCCTGAGGTTTTCCGGCGACTTGGCTTGGCTCTCGTCCTGACTTTTCTAAGGGCCTGCGTGTGCAGTGTAGTATTGTGGCGGGTCTGGAAGGCTTTATCTCGAGGGGCCGCTTTACACTTCCCGTTCGAGATTTTGCCGGGACTTCTACTGCAAGAAGCTGTTTGAGCTAGAGCAATGTGTCTTGCAAGGCCGATGAGAAGGCATTAGGCTGCGATGTTGCTGCTAAAATTTCTAGTTTATTCTACAAGGAACATACTTAAAGGGGCACTGACACCCCAAAGGTCGTATTTATTTTTATTGTCTAAAACGATGCAAGTTGCAGTCATAGACATGCAAAAAAAACCGCATCGCGAAAAAAAATTTTCCCGCGCACGCGCGCGCCTTTTTATTTTGGGCGTTTGATTTTCCCGCCTCTCGCCTCCTCGCTTCTTTTGATCGGTGACGTCAAAAATCAGGAAATTTAGAAGCTTTGTAGGCGACATCTCTAGAACATTTAATTACGTCAATCCTAAAACATGTTTTTTAACGCAATTGCGAACGCACTACGGCCCTTCTTTTTGAAATACCAAAAATCGGGAGTTCGTTGTGGTGTCGTCTCCTGGATTTGTATCCTCCAACGGAAAACAGGCGACACCGCTCAAAACCGGTCCGCGCCGCCGCTCACTCCTTTCCTCCTCGCTTTGGGTCGCCATGGCAACAGCAGGGAGTGGTGAAAGGAAGTCGACTCTCAGGTCTCCTCAATTTTTGACGTCAAGGCACCGGCGCCGATCGCGCGGGAACTTCGAATTTGGCATTTGGAAATTGTTTTTTTACTTCACGAATACTGAATTCCCAAATCTCAAATTTTGTGGGTAATGTCCCGGCATCGTTTTCAATCGTTCCGGATAATAAAAAAAAATATGATTTTGATGTGTCAGTGCCCCTTTAAATTTCCTTTCTTCTGGTCGGCATAGCACTATGTCTTCAGCTGCCATGGGTGAGAGTTGGCACTTGGTATTTCCTATCAACTTGGGCATGACAGAGCTCAGACAGGACTAAAGAAAATAGAACCCAGGCTTTGCCGGTGTCCAGAAATTGCCGTCTTGCAGGGGACTTTCCTACGAGATTGAGTATTGTTTTATATGGGGGGCCGGTTTGTGAATCGGCAGCTAGTTAATGTGCCGATTTGCACCAGCTTTACAAGATTATTTATTATGTAAATTTACTTCTTGAACATTTGGGTAAAACTACCTATAATCTATTGACTTTTAGTTTTTGAGGAAAATTGTTTTGTCATATTTTGAGGAAAATGGTCCTTGCTGAATATGCGTGCCTGTGGATTTTATGGATTCCATTCAATCATTGTTACACTTGGGGACAAATCTGTGCCAGTTTGGAAGTGACAAGTGCACTTCATGCTTTGATTGGCACACAAGGTGCTCGAATGCTCATAGCTTTGACTTTTTGTCTCCAAAAGTTGTACCAGGTGTAGAGGTTTCTTGCAGCAATCGACCTCTGTCCGACATTACTAGCTTCTACCTGGCCAACTTACAATCAGTGTTATGGAATAAAGTACTGGAATCGACCACTGTGCTTAGTCAGATTCAAGCAATCCTCGATCACCTTTACAGCGTACTACTACTTTTCCCACTAAGTGGATAAGTCACCTTCTAGAAAATGGCCGAATGAAGGCCTCAGACCCCCTTATACTCATCTTCATTCTAAATTTTTTTATCCCTTCAATACATTCGAGCTGACTGAACACTTTATAGGGGTGCAAGTGTAAAAAAGAATGTTTTTGCCCGTATGAAATGATTGGCCGCATTCTAGGTCTTACTTGGCTAGTTCCAAGTTATTCCCGCGTGTCGTGTCACACAGTTGTGTTTCTGAACGCTGAGGCTCAAAACCTTTGCAACCATGTCCCAAGTTGCGTCGCGCATCTGCCAAGCCAGGCCAAGCCGAGCCAAGCCAAGTTCGCCAGGGCTGCCAAGGGTGCCCTATGCTTGCGACTTTTTGGTTACCATCATTCTGGCTCGTGCCTGCCTTGCCCTGCACGCTTCGTTAGTATGCCAATGACGGTTGTTTGTTACATGCCCATAGATATTCTCACTCCACCTGATTGACCTTTGTTGCACTTCACGCGCATCCGCAATTTCTCGTCGTGTCGATGGCTCGAGGAGCACGCTCCGTTGCTGCACCTCTCGGTTGTTGTTGTCTTTGCATTTGCTTGCATGGGCCGTCTGATCTGTTTGGTCGCCATCTTTGACCTAATTCATCTTGCCAAAATGTTTGTTTAAACTGCAATAGTCCCATCTTTATTTATTTTATTTTTTTTTACTTTAGAGGAGGTCAGTTTATTCTTAAGGCCACCTTTGCAGCTTGTGGTGAGCTACTTCCCATATTGGAAGATGGGAGTTTGGTACGATTGGTTAGGGCCGCGGTTGCTCGCTTGTGGTATTGGGGAACCAGGCAACTGTAGTCTGTTGTAGGTTAAGATCTCTTTCTACAAAGCTTGCTTTAGCCGAGTGAGTGTAGAGCAGGAAACGACCAATCGTGGAGAGCGGAGCACTTTTCCTTTTTACCTTCTTGCGCTGCAACAGACTTCAGGTCTGCCTCTGTCCCTTTTAAATTTTTACTATTAGTTTTTTTTTATGCTTTTGCGTTAGTATTTAGTCGATAGTGTATGCACCTGATGTTGAAGAATCCGAACATTGGCGCTACCTTTTTAGTGCCCCCATAGTCTGCACTGGATAGAATGTAGCGCCCGTTTGACTGTTCTGTACCCGATCCTTCGATGCAGCTGTCGCCAAAACTTAGACGCTGCTTGTAGAGCCTGTGGCAGCTTTGTGGGCATTCACGCGTGTGTAGCCGCACCTTTTCGTGCTGGGGGGAAGTGTGAAGGGCTGACACTTGAAAGTCTGGGAGACAAATTTGATGACAGTCAAAACATTGCTTAGCACGTTTCAATTGCGAGGTGGTTGGGGTATGCAGATTTTTGTTGCAATTTTTGAGGGTTGATCTGTTGTGAAATATTCTGTCAAGCACCGAGCATTTTGGAGAAAAGAGAAGTGCATTTTTCTTACTGTGGGAATAAATTATGCTGCGCTGAAAGCTCAGTGTTTGCCCGAATGTAGCACTAGTGATCCGGACCGGATGCCAATGTTTGAGAACTTGTCGTCACCAAATTGAAGTTGTAATCGATTTTCCAAAGTTTTTGGTGGGAAAATGGCACTCAAAGGAACCCGCGAACGCGTGGAAAGGAATGTCGTCTGCTGCCAGAAATAAACCGCCTTTTAAAAGCTAGAAAAAAAAAAAAAAAGTTATACCTTTTGAATTAAATAATGTTCAGTTCTTTGACACCTTGTCCCAACCTTTTCGGACAAGCGCCCGCTATTTACATTTCCAGAACTTCGGAATTCAGATCACATGTTAAGCATCCGCCCCCTCCAAAGCGCCGCAAATATTCACCGCACCGTGGCAGGTACCAGAACACCAGCGGGGATGATGGAGATATCCGCTTCCTTGTGATGGAAAGGGAAAGGCTTCTTGGGCAGGGGAAACCATTAACTATATTATCTAGGTCACTTGTGTTCACTGAGAGGTCCCTGCAATCCTGAAGGTCAGCAGCCCAGTTGTAGTCATGTCAAGACCGATGGGGCTGAAGATAATGCGGTGTGACAATGAACAGTTCTTGGAAACGAAACCAGTGGTCCCAGGGCTTTTGTGAGACACATCTCGATAAAGTGTGCACGTTACCACGGTTCCCTCGCTTCTCATGCACGCTGCCGCCATCTTGGTTTTTACTGCTTCAATCGGACAAGCGCCCATGTCTAGACTAACCAATTTTTCGGTGAAAGTGGGGTGGGCGCTTACCCGGTACCTTACGGTATGACTTTCTTTTCTCAGAAACACCCGGTACTACTGCTGCATAATCAAGATTAACCTTGGGTCTAAGGATCCGGTTTTGGCTTAAATTGGTGCGATTGAGATTCTCGTTATGGGGTGTGTCTTGAGTTGGTAGTGTTGCAAGGGGCAATCCAGCTGCGTCTGAAGGACTTTCAAGTGTCAGCGTTTCGCTCGTGATGTGCGCGGTAGTTGTAGTAACCGTCTGATCTTGCTGACCTTGTGAATTGTGCCGCCTGGACAGTAAGCTTTAATAGTAACGACACTCGCTCCGTCTTGTTGCCCAAAAGCTGAAAAATTGTTGTTGGCAACGAAGCTTTATCAAAAGTCCTCCAGAAATGTTACAACAGACGAAGCAAAAAGATGTCGCTGAGCTTTCCGACACTACATCTAGAGCTCGGGAAGCTTATTGCCGCCGCGCCCACTCTGCACGCCAAAAAATCCCGCAAGTTGCTTTTCGATTAAGCTTTGCTTAGTGCACCCCTAGCTTTCTTGCAGGTGCCACCATTTTGGTGCTTAGTGAATAGTGGGAGGCCGACCGTTGCGATTAGAAAATGCAACCTCTTGAGCTTTAGATGCCGTGTCAGGAAGCTCAGGTGTTCTTTGTCTCGAATGTGTTTTTGGAGGACAGAAAAACACTTCCTGCGATTTCCGACCAAGCTTCATGTAACCAGCAACGATGTGCTTAAGATGGCTGGAGTGTTGTTGCTGAAACGTAGCTTGTCTGGCGACCCTGCTGCTGTCGAGGACGCGGTTGTCGTCGCCGCACGTGGTCGGGACCGTCCGTCGCACTGTCTGAGCGCTTTCTTCCTCGTTGCCACAGGGATCTGCAGACTCCAACTACAGCCAGCCGTCGTCCGACCTCTCCTTAGATGAAGATCGCGAAAACACGCGGCGGGAAACTGAGCGCCTGGCACTGGCAAAGCTACAGTCGGCAAGGGTAAGCATCCTTTCCTTCTGGTGGCAACCAACAGTTCCTAGTGCCAGTGATTTCCCTACACACCCCTTAGGGGGCAATGTACACCCTCCTTGTTTTTCTGAAAGCACCTCCTTAATTCACAACGACTCCTCTATTCTCAATGCCCCCCCCCCTTATAATTTAAATTCCTGGGGAAACCCCTGCCTAGTGCCATCCCTAGGGCTGGGACGTGCGACTAGAGATGAAATGCCTATGACTGGGGACTCGTAACTAGCTCTAGGGATGGAATCTCTACGCCTGGGAACTCATGACTAGTTTCAGGGATAAATTTCTTACGATTGGGGGCTCAATGACTAGTTCAATCCCTACAATTGGGGACTCATGGTTACTTCTAGGGATGAAATCCCTAGGACTGGGGACGTGTCGCAAACCTTTCAAGGCTCAAGTTCAATGGGTCTTGTCTTAGTCTCACTTTTAACGCCAAGTTCGACAAACATTCTATTGTAACGAGGAGCGTGCCCCTTATGGAAAACTGAGCGTTCTACTATGCGTGATCAACTTTCTAAATTAAAACAAGCACTTTTTTTTGGGACACCTTGTATTAGATTACGTAGACCACGCCTGTGGCCTCTCATACAAAAGGAGGATGAAATACTGCGCCTTTGACTAAAGTTTGACTATTATGCGCATGTTTGGAAATAATAAACTGATGCCACCTGGTGGAGGAGGGATATCTTAACTACCTAAATCATTGCAAGTCTGTGTATTTGCTTTTATATTTTGTAAATATTGGTAATCATTTTCATTTGAAAATTTGTGTGTTGAAGTTCGGCACCATCCACTGTTTAAAAGTCGAGCTTGGTCGAATTTTGTTAAAAGTTCCAAGGTTCGCTGAACCCGTCAAACCCCCGGGTTTGACGAAAGTTCCCAACAAACCTTCTTATGAGCACTCCTAGAGGTAAACTCCGTAGGTTCTAGGGATAAAATGTCAACCTAGACTTCATTTCAGCTTCTCCAGACGCAACCAATGCTACAAGCACGAGCTCCGGGCTTTCAGCGTCCTTGCCAAGCACGCGCTCATGCAGTGCAGGCACTGTTCAGGGTAAAGTGGTTAGCTGGGCGAGTTTGTAAACATTGAGCATGATGAAAAATCGCATATAAAGAGACAAGGTCAATAGAGGAATTCACAAAGAACACAGACGGATGCATCTGTGTTCTGTGTTCCTTCCTTTTTTGTCCTTTTCTCTTTGTGCTCTATTTTTCATCGTGTTCACTGTTCAGGGCCATGTGCTCGTGCTTGTAGCATCAACTGCATCTGGACTTAAGCTGAAACAAAGTATGGGAATGAGCCCCCAGTTGTAAGGGCTTATCCCTCTAGGCCAGGATTCAGACTTCAGTTCTTGAATTTAGGAGGTTCAGTAGGAAGATTTTGGGGGCTGCCTTTGTCAGTGCTTCGGCCGTGTTTGCATGGCTGAAGCTCGCATAGACTTTACGACATTTACGGGCCTACCTCGACCAATTTGAGTGACTTTCTGACGGTGCATTCTCAAGTATTCACTTTTTTTTTCTTTACTCGATATGTCAGTAATTTGGCATATCTATGAACACTGAAGTTGAATTGTAAATGATTAGATTAAACAATCTATGACAACTCACGCGAGATATGACAACTGTGAAAGAGGCGGACAAATTTTTTCTGAAAAGGAAAGCCAACTTTTCTGTAAAAGGAACTTAAAACAAAAATGATGTATACATACAATGTGACTGACGGGATTCATTGTAATTTGTAATTCTTGAATTTTGGTGTTTTTCTTTTTGTTGATGGATACAGTGATATTGACTGTGGCATTCGAAGGTTAATCGCTGGAAGGAATGCATGACTTGTTCATATTGGTTCTTCCTGTTGACCCTCTGTAGAGCAGTGCTTAAAGCACCCTGCATTTCTCACGCTGGGAGGGACTAGAATATGTCCCGATGGCTGCGCCAGCCTCCACATGGTGTGCAATTTCGTTGTCTGCAGTAAACGTTCCACAGAGTGTGAAACACTACGATTGACACGACAAATGGACAGATATGCTAGTTCATTGTTGTTTTATTGATGGCCATATAACTTCTTTTTTTTTATAATGCACAAGTTTTGAGGGAATTCTTCAAGTTCTGGGTCATTTCTCGTCCGATTTAGATGACATGATCAGACCGATTACCTATATAACTTTAGGTGCTCAGCATGCGCACTATAAACTTTGTTCTTGCTGTCTATTGTAGTCTTCATTAAAATCACTGCCTCATAGCAAATGTTTCCAGCCAACTTTCTTCCCGAACCCTCATCAAACTATACTATGTCAAAAAGTCTGTCCACATATCCTGTCAGTGGTAGAAAGGGAAACAAAAAAAATTTAGCATTTCCTTTAAAAAGTTATTGTGAGTTGAAATTTTTTGCAGATAATTAGAAATCACTTGTTTTAGTTATTGTCAATTAGAACATGTAGTAAACACTCTTCGAAACTGTCTGTTTAGTCTCGTTGCACTCTGCATGCTCTCAACGTGAAAAGAAATATTCGGATTCAAGTTCTAGATTTAAAGGTAACATAAGTGAAACTTGACGATCGTGCTGAAAAAAAGGTAATTCTGAGAAAAGAGTAAACATTCTTTCATTGTGTGACTTTTATTTGGTAGTAAGTAAATGCAGTTTCTGAGTCGAAATGAGCTGTTGAGCTAGTTGGTTTTGCATATTTACAAGGTAGTGCAAAGACAAAGCAGAAAGGAGACAGAAATAGGAAAGAAAAAAAGTGTTCTTTCCTATTTCTCTCTTCTTCCTGTTTTGTCTTTGCACTACATTGTAAGTATACAGTTTCTGAGTGTTTGGAAAGTATACATAGATTTTGACTTATAAATTGGGTTCCATGTTTTAGGCATAGGAGTGAAACATGCACCATCGATAGGCCGGAAATATTGGTCTTTTCGGCCATCCAATGTAATGAGGTAAACCCCACGAAGGTTTAGCATTTTTTCAGAATGCAAAGAAGGCTTATGTCTTTCTGTTTTCGTAAGAGATGCAGGGTGTATCGAGTGTGGTAGCCAGCCTGAGCGTGTGTACGTCGGGGAGAGGCCTCGTCAGATTGTCTGGTCTATTTTTGATGCAGGAGAAGCTGGTAGCATTTACAGTGCGCACCAACATGGCCTACGACGGCACGCTGGACGACGACTCCCCCGTCCACGGCTACGCCATCTCGTTTGGCGTCAAGGACTACCTTCAGATCCTGGAGGTGAGGTCGTGAGGCTCAGACGATGTGAAGCGCAAACGCACTTTACACGACGCGAGTGTAGCGCGAGGCTACTCTTACGCAACGCCCCTCCCCTAAGGTTCCGACTTAAGTCGAGGTAAGAGCGTTCTCGGCTGCTGTCGCGCGTAATCAATCCCCTTTCGCGACTTCCACAACCGGGCAGTATTTTTGGCGAGAACGTCTTTCCAATATACGAATGGCAAGAGAGGCCTCTTACGTGCTCGTCTTTAGTACTTAATCTACCTACCGGTTGAGGTCAGCTTGTGCACGGCAGACACTTGAGATTTGCAAACCAGGCGCGAGCTGTCAATGGCTTCAAACGGGAAACCGCGGACGATCACACTTTTAGCCTGCGTTTGATCTCACTTCATTGCGGCGCCTGGTTTGTCGCAGACGATAAACATTTTCCCCATCTGGTAGCGAACGATGTACAATGTTTTCTCATTTTATTTTCATCCGCAAATGACGCTTTATCACAGGCAAGCCGCACTCCTCGCTCTGGTTAATAGATGAACCACTTATGAACGCTCTTTTCGCGAGAGGCAAATTAGATCTCGCTCTTGCGGTGACCAAAATCTGGTACCTGTTGGGGTGTATGTTTGAGGATTTGAACCTACTATTTTGTTTGGTTTCTTCTTCACAAAGTTTGCTGAAGTAGACGTGGGGACTGCGACGTTGATGCGGTGGCAGGGATCCCGCGACGGCGACGACAGTTGAGTGCGGCTCGTGGATTGGACGAGAGCACTCTGAGAACTCGGCTCGAGCTCGGTTACAGTCACTGCCTCAGGGGATGTTCGCTGCGGCAGCGCAAATAGCCAAACTCTAATGGTGTCTGGAGCACGGTACATTTGTCGTGCATTGCCAATCCCAGTGCTCTGAGAAACGTCGGCGGCACATGGTCGGCGCCAAATTACATGTCCGCTTGTTCTGTTCTGGCTGCGCGTCGAAATTCTTTAAATTGTTCCACTAATGTGCGGAGATGAAAGGCATGTTTTTGGGTTGGGGATGTTGAGAATTTATCCCGAGCAGTAGTTAGTGAGTATAATGCTCCTAAAACGCGGCAAAGTTGATGTCATGTCCATCAAATAAGACTTTGTGATCGGTGAATCGGCTCGTCCTGACAATGAGGGTCGCACGTGCACCACAATGCGACGGGCGTGGCGGGCGCTAATTGGACTATCAGATAATCTTGTTCGATGGAAATTACATTAACTTTGCTGTGTGAAGAAGTGTTTAAGAAGTTTTTGATGTCATTTTAAGAAGTGTTTGATGGCTCTTTTTAAAGAAGAGCCCTGGTTAAGTTTTGATTGTCGCTGATTTGCCTCAGAATTGGCTCAACACATCAGTAGACATTATTCGTTAAATACAATTTTTTTCGCAAAGTTATTGAACTTCGAAATTTTGTCCTCACCTTTTCTTAAAAATTCTGCTTCCCACACTGAAAATGTGACTATGAATGTTGTAATTTGGGCAGCACGACATGCTCCGGCTAAGTTACAAGAAGTTTGATTGTCTGAAATGATTGCTGAGAAGCTCCCTCCAGCAGAATGACAAAAATGAGCAGTATACTATGTTCTTCAGACTGTCTGCTCGATGTGCAAGCTTTACAATGTGCGACGTCACCCCACTGGAAGCGGGGTGAGAGTTTAATGTTAATCTTGGCATCATCTTCATTTGCCGTCTTCTCAATAGCCTTTTGAATTTAGAGCTAATAAATAGCGTGCTGGGAAAAGTAAATGCCACTGTGGGTAGCGAATTCTTGCTATTAATTTCTAATTCTTCACTCGGGTAAGTTTATTTTTTTAAATTTTGAAGCACAAAATGCATTATCTTTGGCCACCTCCATGCAAAACCTTGGCTCAATACGCCGAAAAACCGGTTTATGCGATCCGTCGAAAGGTCCGACGATCCAGTTGACTTGTGCGGCAGGTTCCCCTTTCAGGGAAGTTATCTAAAGGTCCGTTGACGCTCTTGCGAGCTCTTACAACTGGGTGCCTTGAACCCTCTTACAACGAGAGGACACACTGGCGCCATCTGTTGGGTAGCAGTGTAAACTTGGCGGTCCGGCATATTTTCTATTTCTCTTGCACATTATCTTTTCTTTCTTGGCTCGAAAAACTTTTTGCAACGTTATAAGCAAGCCTTTCTTACGGGTATTACACACGTTTGACCTCGGAAATCCCACAGACCCTTCGCTCTTGTGGAATGCAGTTTCAGGCTCACCGCATAGATGGTGCCAGAATGCCAGTGTGTTCCCTCGTCCTAAGAAATTTTAAGAGGCTTCAACAGGTCAACAAGTCCCGTCTCTCTCGGACGTACTCGGTTGCAAGAGTGTGAACGGGCCTTAAAGTGCTCTTCCTGTTTGGTGCAATGTATCGGGTGTGCACATGCCGTGTTAAGTAAAGTTGATCTCCGGAAGCGAAAGAACCCCGAAGGAAACAAACGTCAGGATGGCAGCCTGTAGACGCTGATGGGTTCCCGTTCTCTTGCTGCAGAAGTACAACAACGACTGGTGGGTAGGACGGCTCACAAAAGAAGGCTGCGACATGGGTTTCATCCCGAGTCCGGCAAAACTCGAAAACCTCATTCTGCAGCAGACGCAGACGAGGAGCACGAAGCTCTACTCAAGGTTGGCACCGTCCTCCTCTCTTGGCTCTGTGCCGCTGGGGATGGTGATTGGGCTGTGTTCAGATGGCGTTAGCCCCAAGGGCGTCTGTTGTCTCTAGCCAGAGCAATGCCACTGGTACCCTGCGCTCTTTAATCATACAGAGGTTTCTTTATTTACTTATTTATTTACATATTTAGTTTATTTCTTTACCTATTTACTGTCGACACCGGTTATAACGAAGTCAATGGGGATCTGAGATCACTTGGCTATATCCACTTCTTCGTTATATCTAAACTCATAAAAGTAACACAAGCTGTCGCAAGCAAATGTTTACCGTGCCTGCAGAAAGCGGTTGAGGCTTCCCTGCACGCACTCTCTGCTAGATCGGATCTGCTTCTTGCCCACTGCAAGAAACTCCGATAGAGAGAAGATCCTGCGAGCTACGTACGGACCGTGTTAACAGCTGCGACGGCTGCCGTGGAGAACGCCGGCTGTGGAGAGCAAAGCGCGCATGCTTTATGCGCGCTTTGTCGAGGATGGCACAATTTTGTTTCGAGGAGATTGCCTTCTTCTTCCCCGTCGTGCTGTCAGCAGTGCCAGGACTCTCCATCGTTGAGCGGTGGCGATTTGCCGAATCGGTGCTTGAGCGAAGTTAGACTTTCGCGCAAGAGCGACCACACCGACCAGCGACGCCGACACGGAACACGAAGCAAACAAAGAAGCACGCACAGCACTGAGTTTGCGCTCAAGCTCTCCTTTCGTCGGTATAGAGAGCCTAGATTTAAGGGAGGGGACAACATGCAAGTAGTCAAAACTGAAAAACGTTCACCTTCTGCAAATGTGTCTGCCTCTTTGCCCAGTTTCCTCGCCACACTGGCCACGTGACAACCAGATGCAGGCGTACTTCCGCCAATCTGCCCAGGAGGCGTCTGCCATTAAATTGAAAATGCTCTCAATGATTGGAGTTGCTCCCTCTCTTAAATTTAGGCTCTCTCCGTCATCTCCGCCAGTACGCTGTCGCTAGCGCCCCGAACGCCCCTATTGGCATGCCACGACAGGTTCTCCGTGTGCGACAGGAAAAAGCCGTTTCCCAAATAAGGTGCGGAGAGCAGATGATGTTGCAGAGGCGTCCGCTGGCGGCCTTTGCTGCGTCGTCTGCCGCCCGGTCTGGGTGACTGCTCAGCCGCAGCAGCAAAGTGCAACGCTTTGCGACTTGGTAACTTTTCTAAATTCAATTATTTTTTCAATTGTCACAAAATTTTTCTTCGCAATATCCGCGGGAGCTGCTCAATTTCCTTCGCTTAAAACGGACACAAATACATAGAAAAAGTACAAATGAGAATGGGAAATCGCAAATTGTGTTGCCTATAGCCGCTACTCCATTCTAACCGACTTCGTTATAAGTGGGCACGACAGTATATGAGGCTTTTACCGTAGTTTCGAAAAACGTGTCCAACATTGGATTCGAAACCTGGTTTCCAGGATCGTAAAGCACCTAAATTTTCTCAAGCAACCCTACAACACGTAAAGTTTTTTTTTCTTCTAGTTTTGACGAGCCACACTTCGTTATGTGACCACAGACCAAACGCTCATGTTTCATGGCCCCGGGTTTCCAAAACAATCAGTGTCCCGCCCATATCTTTAGCGTTATTTCTATCCTCGCTGACCAAGTTCTTAAGTTTTGGCAGTGCTCTTTTAAGAGGGTAGAGTTTGGTCGCTAGAGGGGTGACAAGGTCGGCCTTGGTTTCTACCCTCTCACGGGGGCTCTCGATATATATATATAGTGCCAGCTGAATATAAAAGCAGGATTAAAGAGAGAGAGAGAGGGAGAGATAGAAAAGGTATGCACACCGGTGGTGTGCATGCCTTTTCTATCTCTTCCTCTCTAATCCTTCTTTTATGTTCAGCTGGCACCATAAATATAGCAATGAACCAACTTGCTCAGCTTCAAGTCGTCACAAGGTGCTCTAGAGTTGTGTGGAAAGAGCCAATCTTAAATAATGAGGTTTCTATGTCAGGAGGCAGATTGGGCATGCAATGCCCAATCAGTGGTCATCTGCAGCCTGGGGAGCCCCCAAATAAGAGCCTGGCTGCCCAAAATCAGTGTTCCCAAGCTTTATCTGAAAGGGCAGCAAATCCAGAACGACGGTCAGAGCCAAACGGTGTCGCCCGAAGACACTGCACATAAAGCTCGCAATTTCCAATCGTAAGGATGGGGCAGTGGTAGTGGCCCTAGTTATGGCCCTAGTTACCGGGCAAGAGAGAAACCCCAGTGTGTGTGCCGTTTCAGCAAAGCCGGTGGGTCTAGTAACATAGGTGGCCTCGTGAGTGGGGTCCTGTCCAACTCAAAGTCTTCGAATTCCAGGGGCTCCACGCCACCCACGCCAGGTGAGTCTTGGTTGCTTGCTCCGGCGCGCCCTGGGTCCGACGCCCTCCTTCCCCGTGCCTGTCCCAGCGCAAGTGCCAGAAAGCTAAGCCTAACACCTGTCCCCCATTTACCCCGATCCTTTGAGTGGTGCACGGACTGTTGTCTTGTTCCTTTGGGGAGTGGAGAAATCTACCTTTAAAGAAGGATTCTTGGAAGCCCAGGATTGTTGGAAATCTTGCAAAGCCTTGGAATTCGGGGAATGTAGTAATGTTGTGAAATATGGGAAGCTTCGGGCATTTTTAAGCAGACTAGGGATTTTTGAACTGCATAAATATGCAGGATATAAGAAGCTTAGGAGTTTTGGAGATCTTGAAGAGCCTGGAGTTTCGTAAGGCCTGGAAGGTCATAGACCATAGGATGCCTGAGAATATATGAGATTTTGGGGATCCTAGAGTTTGGGAAGTCTAGATATGCTAGGGAATATGGGAAGCCCAGGAGTGTCGCAGATTTTCGGAAGCGTAGGAATGTGGGAAGTAGAAATATCTGTAATTTTGGAAACCTATTAATTTCAGGAATTTCAGGAAGCTTAGGAGATCGGGAAATTTACAAATGTCATCTAGTATGGGAAGCCTTGGAGTGCCAGAAAGTTTGGAGAATCTTGAAATTTTGAAAGTCTAGAATGGAGGACTTGGGAACCCTAGGGATGTCGGGGGGAGCCTAGGAATTTCGGAAGCGTAGAAAATACCATGGGATATTGGAAACCAAATGTCAGAAGTTTTGGGTAGAGCATATAGGAATTTGGGAAGTCTAGAGATGTTCTTGAATTTGATGGGGCCTATATGATTTTTGGGGGTTTAGGAATTTGCAAGTCTTGAAATGTCACAGATATTCGAGAAGTCGTGAACCCTGAAAATTTTCAAGAAGTGGCGTGGCTGAAACTGCTATAGGAACTTGGAAAACCTGGAAATCTCGAAAGCAGACAAATGGACATTGTTGTCTGGCTAAATCTGTTGGTAGCTGTTATATTGTGGTGATTGAGTTTTCAATGTAATTATGGGAAGCTTGCGTAAATCTAGGTTAAATTAGAGAAAAGGTAGCAAGGGTCAGAGAAATTTCAAAACAAATGTTATAGCTGCATGCTAACACTGACTCAGGTTCATTGCATTTGGATGCACTCTTTAGTTGGTAGTTTTGGCATTAGTAATAAGCAAGTAGTCATGCAACTAACTATGGAAGCTCTAAACTTTGACCTGGTTTGTTTTGGGGTTTAATGAGGTCAGTATATACACAGTGATTCCACTTCTGCACCAAATGTGGTATTTTGTACCAAAATCAATTTCTTGCGCCATCCTGATAAAAATCCTCCATATTGCACCAAATTGCGTGGCTGGCCGAATTACGCAGTGACATGCGTCGTCTGTCATAGCCGCACGCAACCTGAGATGCGGAAAAGTGAAGGACACCTAACGGCTGTGCTGTCAACTGGAGCAGGTGCTTCTTTCTGAAGCAAGCCTTTCCGAGAACATGACAATAAACAATGCGCAGAAAGTTACATCAACAGTTGTGTCAACTTTTTTTATATGAGAAGTATCTGTCAAGTAATCCCTCACATTGGACTTCTGTGGAAGGTAAAGTTTTCTTAGTTAAGCCTCTGGAAACCAACATTGCAAAATGGCTTTACTGTCTACAGAAAAAAAAAAACGATAGGAGATTTTAGAAATTTAAAATGATATCAGGTGCTCAAAAGGGCTCAAAATTTCATGTTTATAGGCTTCAAAGTGCTCCCAAAACCATTTTTAGGTGCTCCAAAGTGCTCCAAAATTTTTTTCAGGTGCTTCCAAAATTGCTCCAAATCACAATTTTGCAGTAGCATCACTGTACACATCATTGTCGCTATTATTGATAGTTTTAGATGTTTGCCATTCTCCAGACTAGTTGTCGGAGAAAACTCAGAAAAGCTTGAAAATTTAAAAACAAAATGATGGTATACTCGCATACATGTCATTTGTAGGTTTCAGTAGTTTTCTGTCCACCTCTAATATTTGCTTATATGTCAAACTGATTCACAAGGGGCATGCTACCTGGGTCAAATATTCCTCTTAACAAGCTAATATAACACCCTCCATGAGAGCATATACGGCTGCGATGGTGCAGGCTAGCTGGCGTGAACTTCTTCTTAAAAGGTGAAAAACTCGAAGAAACCAAACTAGAAGACAAAAGAAAAAAAGAAAAAAAAACAACAGAAACCCGAGTCTCAATCTTGGCTCGCTCGTTTATTCGGCATTCTCCTCATACATACGTCATTCTCAAGTAAGGTGGTCATGCAGTTGGATGAGTTGGTGCACATGGTTGAGCACAAAAAAATTTTCCTTCTTCCCTCCTGCACGCTTGTCTATGTGTTCCCCGTCTTTTTGCGCGCAACCATGTTTAGTCATTCTCAAGGTCGCCGATTAACTGCCACTGGAATTCAAAATCACACCTGACATCAAAGGCCTGCCTGTTAGAACTTAAGCCTATTTGCCCCCTCTATATTCTAACGCACAATTCTGAACCGAAAGCTGCCCCCAGACCAAAGAACTCCGTTCTATTTAACATATCTTTATCGAAGCGACGGAGGAAAAGCTTAACAAGCTCCCTTCTCCCAGAACAGTTAAAGACGAAGAAGACAGCGGGTACCCGGAACGTCCTTGGAGGCCAAAGGGCTCTTTGAATTTTACTGCTCATCATTATGCTCACTCGGGCCATTTGGCCACACTTTGACACTTTGCTCGACTTTAAAAAACACACGCACAACCAAACGGGTGTTTCGAGAAAATGCTAGCCATCTACTAAATCATTTCACTACGTGGTACTTTCCAATACTTGCACTCTTACGTGCCCTTTCCAATACTTGCACTCTTACGTGCCCGCGTGGTACTTTCCAATACTTGCACTCTTACGTGCCCGCGAATTTTGCCTCACAAATTTTGCGAGCAAGAAAGCTGCCAGGTGCAGATCCCACCATCTCGTTACAAGGACGGTAAAATCCTGTAACAGCTTACCCCTCGTTGAGATTTATTGTAGCGGAAGCTCGTCGTTAATGGAGTGGCATTTTTAGAGTTTTCCTGCACTATAAGACATTGCATGTTATCGCAGTGTGTACTATTTATTCTCGCTTCCATGAGAAACAACACGGGTGCATCGCACGCAGCATTATTAGTGCCACCTGCCTCTCCACAAAGTGCTTGCTGAGGACAGGAGACACGTTTGTTGCCTCTAGCAGAGGGGGGGCCCCGCTTACCATTTGCTCCATTTTGAAAAACAGTGCGAATAACACACGGACAAGAAGAGAACACACAGGACGATGCGCTGACTATCAACTATATATATGTCTTCTGAATATAAAGTTGATAGTCAGCGCCTCGTCCTGTGTGTTCTCTCCTTGTCCGTGTGTTATTCGCGCTGTTTTTCAAAATGGATTCATACCAACTCGCCCAACTTTCCATTCTAGTAAAATACCATTTGCTACTGGGTCGTGTCCTAACAAGCGTCTACCCCTACATTAAAAGGGCAGTCTAACTGTTTTCACGTGTTGCAGCTCATATTTTTTTATAGTTACATTGGCAGAAATACTGCGATCTCGCCGTGTAATCGCTAAGGGAAAAACATCTTGATCTGCATGGCGGGTATATGGGAACCACGCTGTCGGGGGGGAGTGAACAAGTTTTGGTCTGACGGAAGTGAACAAGGCCTCTCCGCCGCTACCCATTGTCTCCGTGGTCTTTTATCTCAATCTTTGGCCAGACCTTGAAAGGAAGGGTCCTTGAAGACGGAACTAAAGGAAAAACCCCGAGGTACCTCCCGTGACATCACTCGAAAGACGAGGGTTGAGACATGCTCCCAACTTCAGTTTATTTCATTTTTTAAAACCAAGAAAAAATGGGTTTCTGCTCCTCATTCTATTGGTTTCATGAGCAGAATCTTCTAATTAATAAGGTAAAAAAATTGGTCAAATAAGGTTGAAAAATTTTAATGGCACCCATTAAAAGGACACTGCAATGAAAAATATGTTTTTTAAACAAAACAGATGGGACACATCTTTTTCATAATTTTTTCACGAGAAGAAAAAAAAATATTGTGCAATATTTACGTTGTTAGACTCGATTTAGGTGGAGGTCATGGCCTGCTCTAAGCCCCGCCCACAAATCAGTTGCCCCTCCCATTACTACTGGATTGGCTTGGCTGCTCTGCCGAACACGCTAACAAGACTGGTGTCTCCCTTTCCCGACATCCGGGGCGTCTAGTTTGGTGTCTGACAACGCCTGCTAGTTATGTGAGCAGACGCGCGACAGCCTTTCCATCTATCATCGTCTGCCATGCCTGAAGGACCGGACATGAACGCTGTCCGTCGGCATACGTTTTCACGTTTGTCTGTCTGCTGTTCTACCCCGTCTAAAAACTTTTACAACGCTGGCAAGACTCAACCATGAAAGCGGTGATCTAGCGTTTCATTATAGAGTGGGCGACGGTCCAATACTTGCATCGTCAGCGCCTGCTGATGTGCGGTGAAGAATGACCGAGAGGACTGAAAGAAACGAACAAAATAAGCATGCAGTCATTTGAGCTTTTTTGTTTTGTAATTTTTTTTGGTGTGGCATCCACAAACAAGGCGAGCGAGCGTCACGACGTGCAATTAAAACGTGAAGTAAAATTATTCGATTTGGCAGGCCAGGTGCACTGCAAAACTTAAAAGCCACTTGCCTCTTGAAGTGAGATGATGGGACCATACCTGGACTAACTTGATACTAGCCAAACGTCTGATTGCCTCCAGCCACATCGCTCGCAAATTCTTACCTGTGTAGATATCTTCTCTATATTGAAACCATGGTTGCATTCGCTATGGCTTCACAATTCACAGAGCAGTGGGGCTGCTTTTACGGGAACCAACATCTTTATTCAGCATCAACACGCACTAAGAAAGAAATCGGGCCAGATCAATCAAAATAGGGACGCTAGGCTCAGGTCAGTCCCGTTAGGAAAACAAGCATCCGCACAGCGCTTCCAAAGGTGCTTGCCTGCGACAGTTGTTTGCTGCAAACCACGTTGGTCGATAAGATCTTTCTCTAAGCACCTACGTGAACTCAAAACGTCCCACATTCATAAAAATTCACGAGCTCAACAAGTTACGCTCGTTCAGCACTCTACAAACGCAGGCAGCCATGTTTGTTAGCGTTTCAAACTAAACCGGCAGAAGCAATCTTGTAATACATTTGAAAACAACAAACAACAGAGGTCTTGCTCGGGACGTGTCATTAAGTACTCTAGAAGCAAATTGCAGCATTTGTTTTAGGGAAAGGTGTTGGTGTCTATTGCTTTTTCGTAACAGACACCACAAGACAGGGACAGAAAGTGAGAGACAGTACACAAACATTGCCAAGGCGACACCTGTTCATCGAAAACGTCCTTGAGGGGAATGACATGCGTGGAACTTATTCACACTTTCTGGAGCATAGCGACATTTTTGCGGACGCTTGCATACATTTAATATGGCAGCTGCGGGGACAGGAGCCCGAATGGCTTGCAGGCAAGGCGATTGTGGTAGCACTGTGGGCTGCTTTTACTCGTTGGTTTTGCAGACCAGAACGGGCTGGAGAGCAACGTGGAAGAAAGCGACAGTCCGGGCAACACCAAGTTGGGACGAGGCGTCATCACCACACTCCCTGCCAAGGAGAAGCGAAAACCCTTCTTCAAGAAGGCAAGCGTTTCTTTTGTGGACGTGTAGAAAGTGTTGAAAAGGCTTTTGGACTTTCGTTTGATCACATTTAAAGGACACGCCAAAAATAAAATAGGAGATAGCTATACACAAACTCAACTTCGTAACTTCACGCCGCAATGGCATGACGTAACAAAAGTTGTCTGGACTACACATCACGTTCATTGAGTCTTCCAAATGAAAACGGCCGCCTGATCGTTCAAACTGTCATCTGCTCTCTCAAACTTGTCTGCATATTGTCGTCTGCTCGTTCAGATCACAGCGGCCTGTAGGTCAAACATTGACCTGGTAACTGCAATAAGTAAGTGCAGGGCTCAAGAGACTTACAAGTCGTAAGATTGTTTGAGGCAAATATAGGCTCAGTGTAAACAGTAGATACAAGGAGATATTTATTGTTGTTACCAGTGGCCATCACCGACTTGTTATGACTGATTCACTTGGTGTGATTCTGCTTGCAATTTTCAGCATCAACTTCAAGCCTCGCTGCTACGCTCCACACTTGTTTTGCAGCCTGTGTGACGTTGCGACCGAAAATAGCGAGCAGAATCTCATCATGGTTTTAGCGTCCATTCTGGGGCATTCACATGTAATGAATCGCTGCACGTCGCATTATTCGCGCAAATTTTTTTTGGGTGTAATGAGCCTCGTTAATTTCGCTCGGGCCACTAAAGTGGCGAGACATTGCTAGGAAGACGAAGAATCAACATATCAAATGCGGAAAAGAGCACGGGGACTCATACCAACGCCGCCAACATCGCATTTCAATGGTTTGTTTAGGTGCGACGGCGAGCTTATTGCCCACACCCCATCGTGCATGCACGGCGCCGGTGGCGTCTACTAGGGGTGCTCCGGTTATGTTGTAAACATGAGCTGGTGTATACCGCTAGGACCCATTGTATGTTCCTAATATTTTTGCCAACGATGGAAGGACGGAAGAGAAAAGTATTACAGTCACAAAGTGGTGATTAAAAGGTTGATGGAAATTATCTGGGGAAACTTGAAGGATGCACAACTAGCACAGCTGGGGACAGGGGGGCGGGGGGGGGCGGGGGGGCGGGGGCAGGGGGGGGGGGGGGGCGGGGGGGCGGGGGCAGGGGGGGGGGGGCGGGGGGGCGGGGGCAGGGGGGGGGGGGCGGGGGCGGGGGCAGAGGAAAATTGGGACTCCCCCTCCTCGTGGCTCCGGCCCAAAGTCTCAACCCTGTCTCCCACTGGGTCCGGTGCTGGGGGTAACACCGACAGGGTTTGACCAGAGGAAAATTGGCGACCCCCTCACCGGGGGGGAAAAGGCATGGGGGTGATGTTTTTAGTTTTTTTTGCCCGATCCCCCAAAGGTCATCTGAATGATATCCCACACTGCCTAGGGATAGCTAGGGAAATAAAACTGCTTTAAAAGGACGGGAGGAATCGCATGTTTGTCTTTTTAGACTTATGCTAGGTGGCTCAAGCTACTGCCATTTACAAAGGGTATAGAAATACAAAAATAAAAGGGCCGAAGGTTTGTTGAATTAGTCTAACTTCGATATTGGACAAAAGTTAGTGATGCCCTATCTGTAAGTGTGTGTCATGGGTAGTGGTCTCTAGATTCGGTGCTAGTTCGTAACCTTCACATTGCCCTTTTTCTCCGCAGTCTGAGAGCCCATCCCCGTACGACGTAGTGCCTTCTGTGCGACCAGTGGTGTTGGTGGGGCCTTCTCTCAAAGGCTACGAGGTGACAGACATGATGCAGAAAGCACTGTTCGACTATCTGAAGCACCGCTTCGAAGGCAGGTCAGTGCCCTTCCCGCTTTTGCCGACGTTTCTTTAACAGCGACAGGGGGTTGGGGGGGGGGGAGGGGGGAGAGGGGGGAGGAGGAGGAGGAGGGGGAGGGAGGGAGGGAGGGAGGGAGGGAGGGAGGGAGGGAGGGAGGGAGGGAGGGAGGGAGGGATCCTTTGCAGAGGATCGCTGTGACGTCGCCAATCACACAATCCCTCTCAGCCGCCAAGATTATACGAAAACAAAAATTTCCGTCTGTCGAACCGGATTCGAACTAGCGACCTGTGGATGCCAGCAGTTGTTTATTCTACAGTCGACTGCCCTCCCAACTGATCTATTGAGGGGGCAAATTTCGGAAGATTAAAGGCGATGTGCGTTCCATTTCCTTCTACCTCGGTTTATATGAAAATAAAAATTGGGCATATCGCGAGCCTCAAGTGTACACTTGATGTGAGAGCACGGTCAAAGATGGCGAGTGGGTGCCGGAGGCGCTGGAAAGAGACGCCGTTCTCATCTTATCTGCGACTATAGACCATTCTAGAAGAGCGCTTCTGATTGACGCCATTTTCATTTTTTTATCCGTGTGGCCCGTGATTCGCTCGCTTTCAGCAGCAATGCACATGCTGTTTCACTGAGCTTTTCTTATCTGTAAACGTTGGAAAGGCGCATAGAAAGGGTTGGCTACAGCAATGCCACTTAGAAGACGTTGCGACTAGTGAATCTGCGGTGCCTAGCTTGCGTCGTCGTCTTGCATCATCTTGGAACGAGCGCTATGTTAGCACGTGGCAATGCCAAAGCGGAAGCATGTGCGATTTGGAACCACTATTGACGACGTGCAAGCTTTGTCTCCTAGGTGGCTGTAGACGACACCCCGTTGTGCTGGCGCACTATATCCGGGACTGCTAGACCTCGGAAAGTTTGTAGCGGATCCAAAGAAGGCCAATTTTAGTTTATTATCATGCTCGCGAGACGGCGCAGAAGTGTTGACAGTGCCACCGTGATAGTTAGTCACGCGAGTGGCGAGCTGCTGTCTCTAAGACGCATGCGGAAGTATACTTTCCAGAAAACTGCCAGGGTTTTGCTTGCAAACTATATGGCTTTTTAAGATTATCTCATATTCCTGTCATATTCCTGCAGACGTAGAGTCCAGAGGTAAGGAGAAAATTTGTTGATGGCCCGTACCGCAGCGAGGCGCTTCTTTTTTGTGATTTTCTGTGATTGTGTAGTTCATTCCAGCTTTACTAATGGAGCGGCCCGCATAGGCAATGATGTGTTCGACAGAAAAAATAGCTCATTGTAAAAGAACGTCTCCAGTGCTGGTGTCACTAGCGTCAGTGTACTGTATGGTCTTGGCGTCGTTGCAGAACTGCCAGAGAACTGGGTTAGCCGTGAGAGCTCTCTTCAGCGAAGTAAAAGCAATTTCACGAGCGGGTGTCCCAGAAAATGTGGTTTTGCTTTTAAGAAGTTCATTACGGGGACTAGTGATGTTAGCAAACCCTCGGATGAACCTTCGAAAATACGAAGCCAGTCCTATGAAGCTGCGCAGATCTGTCTGTCTCTTTGGCAACCTGTGGTACGTGAGGCAACTGGACAGTGCGCATTTCGTCTAAGTGCTGGCACACAAGGGTTGTGTCCGACACTGACGTTGGGTTGCGTACCAAAAAGATGTTGAATGCGGTGTCCGCGATTCCCTTCGAGATATGACGTATGCGGTCCGACCCTTGCACGTCGGCGTCGGCTCTGCTGCAAAGTGTCAAAACGTCTTCGATGTAAGACGTGTACCTTTCTTCATTTTGCTGTTGACAATACTGAAGTTGTTTTCTTCGCAGTTTCTCTACGGCTTGTTGGGCTACTGAAAATCTCTCTAAGTTTGGCGGTAAAAGCTGCCCAGTCGGGAATCTCATCTTCATGTTTTAGGAACCAGGTCTTAGCGACTTCTGTCAGATAAAATGCGATCTTTGCTAGCCAGCGATTGAAATAGCTTACACGCTCGTAGCTGTCTATCCAGTCATCGACGTCCTCGTTAAGTAGGCCGGCGAAGACCTTGGGGTGCCCAGCTGAAAATTCTCATTAGATACAATTGGAATTCTAACTGGTTTTAATTGGAACCAATTGGTTTTACTGGGTTCCAATTAGCACACTGGCCAATGGGTCTCACCAATTGGAAAAAATTTTCCAGTTGGAATCTTAATCGGTTCCAATTGGTTCCCACTGCAGTGACCAATTGGTTGTCCCAAAACCTAGCTGGTACCAATTAGAAATTCCAATTGGAATCTACATTAATGGGAATTTTCAACTGGGGTCCCGCTGCGACTGCGGGCGACCCATGCATGCGTTGGTGGGACTGGGATTGGCGTGTTATGAGTCGTAGTGCTGGAAGATGTGGTGATTGACATTTCCTTTGCTGTTGAGGACGCAGTTATTCTAGCGAGTGTTCGCTTTCGTAGCTCCAGGTTGTAGCAAAAGCAAAAGGTCGGGGGTGTCGAACCCAACATGAACGCGCATATCAAAGATTGGCACCCTGCTTTCCAATCTTCTCGGTCGTGTGTGGTGGGGAAGGAATATTCAGAAATGTGGAGGTTTGGAAGGTTGGTTTTCTTTAGCATATATTAAGGATATTCACGAAACATACTTTTTACAGCCATTGCAAATGCACAGGCTTAGTTATTGCTCCCAAAATCAAGCGATTAGTGAGTTTAGCTGGGAAGATATTTTTTATCGGCATCCTGTCAGCTAGATTTTCTTGGGGATGTTTTATTGGCGTCCTGTCAGAATTTGCCGGGAATGTTTTGTCAGTGTTCCGTCGGATTTTGTCGAAATATTCTACTGGTAAACTTTGCACCACGTCATTGTATGTTTTGACATTTGTTACTGTGGTTCCTATTGCAGGATCATAATAACCAGAGTGACTGCGGACATATCACTGGCAAAGCGCACGGCCGTCAACAATCCCGGCAAGCGGGCCATCATTGAACGAGCAAACAGCAGGTCATCTTGCATGGGTGAATATTCCCTTTTCATTCATTGTCTTTCTGGGTCGAAACTTTCTGGGTGCCAACAAAAGGGAAAATTTGAACAATGCTCTCCCTGACAGAAAAGATTTTGACAGATCTCATCCGGTGTATGTACGTTGTGCAACGAAGAGGGCCCTGACAGCCTACTGCTGTGTGAATGTAAACCGGAAAGCAATTGTTTGTTGCGTAGGTACTGTCCTTGACCCATTTAAGCCCATTTACTTCCCTAGGGTGAAACGGCACTTTCAATGAGTTGACCGTGCACAGTTTGACTCACCGCAGATGTTTGTTTGATTTGTTTCTGGTATGATCCATAGACATACACTACACAATATGTGCTAACATATTACTTGTCCTTGGCAAAAATTTTCAACTGGGATCCAACTGGTCCCCTACTGGTTTACGGAACACATTTCCAGATGCAGCTGGTCCCAGTTGAAGTTGGTCCCAGCTGCTGTTGGTGCCAACTCCAGCAGCAACTATACACAAAAAGGAAGGTTGGCCAGTCTTTGTCAGAAAGAAAGAAATACCCAGTTGGGTAACGTAGAGTCAAGCCCAGGTATAGCGAAATATCGGACAAACAGATGTTGGTTGCACGCCCCTGATGCTTTTAATCTGTGCGAACAAAGTGGAGGTGGCGCTGCAGATATAACTAGAGAAAAGTTCCGAAAGGATTTTTTGCGAAAATCGCTAAGAAATAGCATTTCGAGCCCCAGGAGTATACAAAACGTGTTTGCCGACTTCACTCGTGGTGCTCTCCGGCGCCAAACGACTTTTTCAAGGAAAAATTATGCAGCTCAGCGCTCAACGAGTTCAGCTTCGCACGCCATGCGATAGCCATTTTGCACGCCGGGTGTTGGGTTACAACGGTATCAAAGCGAGCAAAAATTGTAAAGACAGCCTGGACACCCTGTGCACAGTCCAACGTGGAAAGCTGCTTTCGTCTGCAAAAAAGACTCTCTAAAGAAATTTGTCTGTTTTTGCCTTCTACATCTGGCAAACAGGCTTTCAATATATCTGGCATCATTGCACTGGTTGCCGTCTTGAGCACATCTCGCAGTGTTTAATGTCTGCGGGCTGCATGTTGCGCATTCCTGCTGTACGTCCTATATATACCGGCACCATCTTGTGGCTTACCTCACAAATGATCTTGCGATTGATTCGGTTCCACTTGATACTTGCATTTCATTCCATTAATTCCTTGGCTCACAAATAAATCGGTTACATTTGCTTCGTTTCACTAGTCTCAGCAGGTAGGCATATCGCCTACCTGTTGAGACTAAAAGTTGTCCGGCCTTTAGGTACAACGTGCTTGTAAAGGTGGGGCACTATTTGTATTTGCTTCTTCATTTTTCTGAAAGATAGTCTCTGAGCGTTTTTCTCTCGGCATTCAAATTAGCAGTGTTAGACTGCCGACGCGAATAGTTCCGCCGCACCAGCTGCACCGCCCACAGCCGTAGCATTCCTGCAACCGTGTAATTCTCTTACATTATTATCATTCTCGTACAGCTTCAAAGACGCTGATATTATGTTAGAAACACTAAAAATGCTGTAAACAGCCCCGCTGACTCCGAGCTTAATCTTGGTTTCTGTTGTGTGAATTCTTTGCTTTTTAAGCAATTTCTGCTAAAACAACAATCATGAGAATGATAATATTGTAAGAGATTTCTGCAGCTCAGCCATGTGGAATGGTGGATCGCATGCACAGTATCTAAAATGCTGACATTGATGAGAAAATTTAAAAGTGATATGACAAGTCCTTGGTCCCTATACCAGGTTTGTTCAGGGTGACTCCGAATTATAATCAAAACCGTGTAACCATGGAATTGGTCGAAATTGCCGATCACTAGCGAGCTGAAGGAACACCGTTCCCATGATTCCTCGAGTGCGAGCCGGCCCACTTGGGGGATATAACAAATGGTCTATTGCGAAGGAACCTCCGGATACTCGATCGGTGTTTGTGCGTCCGCAGCGAAGAGCATCGGAGGCTTAGCGGTTCCTTTCTTTCTCTTACAGCCGAGGTGCAGGCAGAAATCGAACGTATCTTTGAGCTGGCACGAACCCTGCAACTTGTTGTCCTTGATTGCGACACCATCAACCACCCTTCCCAGCTGGCCAAGACATCACTGGCGCCCATCATGGTCTACGTCAAGATATCCTCCCCAAAGGTACGCCTCTGGCCGTCTGGCCCTCCCCGTCTTTCGTTCCTCCCCCCTCGAGTACCCGAGGAACGTACCGGCATCTGCGACTGTTCTAAAGCAAAAATCATACCCAGATGGCATTTTTCGGTGCTCTATTTTGGTCACTTACTCGGAATCTTTTAAGCAGATAGACCTTTTCTCAAACTTTGGGAAAAGTAGCTTGCCTCACCACTCTCACCAGCCAGTTTTGTTAGATCGCCACTGCTACAATGCATCGAGGGCACTTTAGTCTTTCTGCACGTGGGACAACCCCGCTGGAGCTTCGTGCGTGCACTGCTGCCTGCCTCCTGTGAACTAAAGTTATGGCGACGTCACGCATGCGTGGAACGCTTAGTGAGATTGGTCTATTTTTTGTTATGCTGTTCTAGATGCATTATGCTTAGAGGTATGTGAATATCATAATCTTTTGGAACAAATCGAAATGAATAATAAAGGTGATAAATCGAATTGAATGTGAATAGTTTTGAAAAAGAACATTTTGGAAAACAAATATTTTCTATTGCTGTGAATTAAACAAGAATGCTTAATCAAACCACAACTCAAACCTTCATTTTTTTTCTTTTCAGCAACCATATTGTATTTACTCGATTCTAAGCACCCTCTTTTTTCACACCCGCGATGTTCAAAGAGGGGGGGTGCTTGATTCGGAACATGCCCCGAAAATACGAAATTCGCACAAGAAATCTGAATTTATTATAATCAAAATGAAAGAATAAATGTTTGAAAGGAAATAAATAAAGATTGCAGAGTAGCCCGCTTGCCATCAGTTTGCACCACGTTCGACTAGTCGCTCTCGCGACTTGTCTTTTGAGGATGATCTAGGGCGCAAGTTTCCGACCGTCGGCTGTGATGCACAGCATTACGATCACCCTTTGCTTCTCATAGCCAGTCGTACGCAAGTTTACTTCTCGGGCGCCTACTTCATTCAGGGTGCACGTTCTTGGCATGTCGATGTACACAGGGGTCTCATCGGCATTGCCTATCTGCCAGAGCTAGTCCGTAGCGAGATTCGAGACGCATCTTCATCACATAACGTTGGAAGTTGACAAGCCTGTCTTCGAAGTCCACCAGTAGCTTCTGGCAGATAGTGGTGCGGCGTCTCAAAGAGAAACCGTTCCTCTTCATCATCCGCTCCACCCAGCCTCGGCTTGCGCGGAACGCCGCACTCCGAACTGTCCAGCAGCGCCGTGATTTCCATTGTCTTCCGCGTAAGAAATAACCATTCTCTTGAACTTCATTGTGTATGAAGTTCTCCTTGCACTCATGATGGAAGACTTCCGCAAACCACGTGCACACAGTGAACGGAATACGATTGCGAGGCCAACGCGGACAAATAGGCTTAACAGACTAAGCAACCAACAAGTCTGAATTGCATTGATGGGCGCTGGGCAACAGGCAGGTGCATTGCAGCTCGGTGCAAGGCACGTGCTCCGTGCTCCTCGCGCATTTATAGCGGCAAAAGACGATATACCTTTCGCAGCTACTGGCTTTTTGCGCACCTCTTTGAAGAGTTGTGCTGGCTTACATACTGTACAGGGTGTCACAAAAGAAAATTTACACTGTCTTTTTTACCGCAAAAATAAACTAGGCATCGCCGAACTCTCATTCTCCGCCCAAAGGTAGAGCTAGAGGTCACAACCATATGCCAAAGTTTCAGCCCGATCCGATAAATTAATCAAAAGTTATTAGTGATTTTCTGAAAATTTCAATGGGAAAATGGCGGCCGTTGGAGTTTTCAAACAGATGGGGCTCTATGGCACCAGAAACCGAAAACGGGCAAAAATGGGCTCCATTTTCCCATTGAAATTTTCAGAAAATCAACTATAACTTTCGATTAAGTTATCGGATCGGGCTGAAACTTTGGCATATGGTTGTGACCTCTAGCTCTACCTATGGGCGGAGAATGAGCGTTCGGCGATGCCTAGTCTATTTTTGCGGTAAAAAAGACCGTGTAAATTTTCTTTTGTGACACCCTGTATTTTCGCCGGATCGTCCTTCATAATAAGCATGTCTGGCCGTCGACACACTTAGAATAATCCGGTTCAAAATGCATGCGTTGCGATCGGGACTGCGTCAAACTTCGAAAAACGTGATTATTCGTAAAAAGCGATTTCGTTATAACAAGGGATTACTGTACTTGGAAAACAATAGGCTCGTTTGATTTACCTGCACCTCCTGCCCCGGTGCAGAAAAGTGTAGGGGCAGAAGTACATCGCTCTACACTCTTATGCGCCGGTGCAGGTAAATCGAACTCGGCTAATCTATTAGGAGTTCCTCGATGTTGTTACCATTATTTTGTCATTGTTTCACTCCCTCAAAAAAGAAAGTTCATCTGTCGCATTAAAAATGAAGGCCACTTTCTCAAGGTTTAAAAAATGGCTGCCACAAAATAACGGCAATAGACGCAAAATATTTCAGCCAGAATATTAGGGGACAGGTGCCTACCACTGTGATTTTTTTCAATCAAATCTGAGAAGGTCCCCGTCAGGTGGTTTGGCGTGGAATGACTTGGCTGTGGTGGCTGCAGCAGCCAGAACGTTGCAGTGTGCGTCCTCTCGCCACGATCGTCTAGACGGACTAGTGCGTTGACAACCGGTGCCACTTCTGACACCATGTCACGTGGGCAAAAGAGAACTTCCACTCGCAGGTTTTATAGTTAGCATCGTACACATGTGGAGCATTGTGATGGTGTGGGCAGTGCACATCTTATCAGGCTGATACAAAAGAGTTCATTTAGGAGTGATGCATTGTGTATTTTAAAGACAAGAAAATGCCATTTCGAGTTGGCACAAACTCATCGCGAGTTTCAGCTCGATGGTGTCGCGCACCTCGGTGTCACGTGACGCTGCATCACGTCTCACAGATGCGCATGCGACACATGAAGCCAGCACACTTCAAAACACGCTGCACATAGTTTGTCCATAAGATGAAGATTTAAGAAGACGACACAACCACAGCACAATGCACGAAACATGTGGTTGCGTAGTCTTTTTCTTTCTTCAATCTCGACCCGCACCAACCTGCTCTTGGTCCTACTGCGTAAATGGAAGCTATGTTGCTACGAAGTTGTGCTTTGTGTTGCAGGTGCTCCAGAGGCTGATAAAGTCTCGGGGCAAATCTCAGAGCCGGAACCTCAACGTGCAGATGGTGGCAGCGGAGAAGCTGGCCCAGTGCCCGCCCGTGAGTGCAATCCTCTTCCCACCGCCCGCTCTGTAACGGACGGGCGTCTGCCACCGCCGCTCCTGTAACACCTCAACAGTGTTGCCGGCAACAGTATGACAGGACGGAAATGGAGGGAGCGCTTTTTAGGATGCGATGGTCGTGCTGCGGGCATCCTGGCGCTTTTAAGATGCGAGGACGCTTTAGGGGAGAGCGTTTTTAACGTGGCTCATCCTGAATGGCAGTGGTTGAAACCCAGGGGGTTCTTCGGTGCTCCGGGCTGTGGTCGGTCCGTCCTCCATTGATTTCTAAACTTGTTTCAAGTGGGCACATGTGTTAGAAACTCGCAGAACAAGGGCGCTCACAACCGTCTCTCGAACGTGTTCCGTGTGTTTCTCGGACAATGTATTTTAAGTCCCCACGAGTGGCCGAGAAAAAATCGTCCCGTCCCGCAAAAAGTTGTTTTGCTTTTCCGTGTTACTGTTGAGACTGGTTATAACAAAGTCGGCGAGAATTGGAAATCACTTTGGTATATTCGGTTCCTAGTTACATCTGGACTCCATAAATATAATGCGCACAAATGTTAATACGGGCCGTTATGGACCCATGTTTATCGGGCCTGCAGAAAGCGGTGGAGGCTTTCTTGCAGGTGCAGCATGTGTCTCATAATGGCAGCCTCCGTACCATCCAACTGCGAGAAGAAGCCCCGACCAACGGGACGTTCCGCCAGGCACGTATGGACCGCGCCAATAACTACAACGGTAGCCATGGAGGATGCCGGCGGCATTGTCGTCTTCACTACAGTCCAACCTTGTTATTACAAACACTGATATACCGAATTATCGGATATAGCGAAGTAAATATAAATTTTGGTTGGTTATGCTTTATTTCAATGGAAGTTCGACCTTTAAAACGAAACCGAAACCACGGAATCCTACGCGGTATCGGTTATAGCGAAATTATTTTCGGCCGCGCACGGCTCGAAATATGTGCAATACCAAAACAAAAAGAAATAAAATCTATAAATTACCATGTAAAAAGGCAATGTACCTAAATTCAGTGCCGATTTTCAAGATACCGAACATTGCCAACGCTCGAACGAGCACCTTGGGAGGTGACTGGCGCCATCTATGAAGCGGGTGCATAAACCCTAAAAGATGGCGCACCAGCGGCGCCACCTATAAGCGTCATCAAACACTAAAATTTAGAGTGCCAAAGCGACAGCGACGGCAGTCAGTCAATCTGGGAGCAGAAAATGGCGACGTTGAAGCGCAAAGCTCTGTCTCTCGAGACGAAAGTTAAAATTTTAAGAGCAGTTGACAGCGGCCGCAAGAAGAAAGATGTTGCGGAGGACCTCAAGATCCCACCCAGCACATTGTCTACTCTCTTAAGTTCGAGGAAGAAGATTGAAGAGACCTACGCCAACAGCACTCTGAAAGGCGACAGAAAGCGTGACAGGCCTTCTCATTACCCCGATGTGGAAGAGGCTTTGTTCTCCTGGTTCAAGGACGTGAGAGCGCGAAACTTGCTGGTGTCTGGTGCTCTTCTGCAAACGAAAGCCGTCAGTTTAGCGTGCCTCTTGGGGCATCATGACTTCAGGGCAAGTAGCGGTTGGCTTCAGCACTTTAAGAACCGGCACGAGGTCGTCTGCCACACCCTGTGGCAGACGATTTTTCTGAGTACTTTTGTAACGAATATTGGATATAACGAACCAATTTGCGGGCCCGATGCTACTTCGTTATAACGAGGTTGGACTGTATTGCCACTATCTTTGCCAATAAAAGCGTTTACAAGGGCTTGTCCTTAGTTTGCGGCAGACCACATGTGCTCACAAAAAGAAAAATATTTATGTTTCCACCTTGGTTTTGTGATCCTATCCAGCACCACAGCAAAGCCTCTTTCGTTTTAAAAGTATTTCCAAGCTCCTTGTGTGGATTGCAGCAATTGGCTCTCTGAAGTCTTGCGCTTGAAAGTAGACATTGCAGGTTTTTTAGGGGGTCGGTACCCTGTCGGGCCAGGGTGAGCACCAACCTGGAAAAGCGGGAATTGTCGGGGAATCGGTCGACTGTGAAAAAGTTGGGGAATTTTTCAACGTTGGTCGGAGGAATCCTGCTTCTCTTTCTCCGAGCAACGACAAATATATTGCGCAATCCACGCTGCAGGCGACTGTGTCGTCGCTCAGAAATGAGAGTTTCCGAGGGAACCCGGAGATTTGAGCCGAACCATGTCAAAACTGGTGTAGCGGGACCAATTTCCCACTCGTTGCATTCTTGTCCGTTGCATCGTGGCCGGTGCACGACACGAGGGCTCTTATTTTGAGCTTCCCTGCTTCCTCCTCCGTTTCACGGTGGTTGAGTTAATTTCTGCCAGATGAGAAAATCTCAAAGTTAGAAGGTAAAAATTGCGCTTGAAAAGCAACCCTTAAAACGTGGGAACACTGTCAGCCGATGGCCGAGAAACCCCTCTGGCATGGACGGCAATAAAGCGGGTTCTCAAGAGATGTGCCAGCTCTTTTGTATTGAATTGCTGCTTAAACTGGGTGAGGAAATCGGGGAGCTTGAGGGTGGAGAACCTCGCTCGAGAGCACGACCGGTAAATTGCCGTCGGACAGTCAGGAGAACCTGGGAAAAGTCTGGGAATTCGAAAACGTGGTAAAATATTAAAGGGATTGTCCGGTCAAATTTTGTATTCGAGAAAACAATTGAATATCATTGTTATTGCCTCGAGACGCATCGTACGTGCAATATCCGAATTTTATATGCCCCTCTGCGTGAGTAATTAAATTTATACTGCTCCAATCGCATTCTAGCGTAAACGCGGTTTTCGTTGGCAACATTGGAGCTTTGACGTCACAAAACACAAAGCGAGCATTTTTGTCCCGTCGATTGCCTGTGAGTGAATGCCTCAGCGTGCTTCGTTTTTGTTGTTGTGCTCGACTTGTTTCGTGGTTGGGTGAGATTTTTGTTGCGCGGTTGGGTGCCATATCCACCGGGCAGCACATGCGAGCCAAGACATGGCATTCCACACTTTTCCGCGAGACGTGCAGCGACGAGTAAAGTGGATCGTCGTCGTGCATAGGGACTGGGTTTCCATGAAGATCGAGATTTTGCTTATGCAGCAATCATCTCTCAGAAGAAAGCTACGAGCTGAGCTCCAAGCGGACAGAAGGGTTGTAAGCTGAGGTGTGATGCTGTGCCAACGATATTGAACTACGTCCATCCACTCCTCGCCAAAATCGGGCCAGTCAATTTAGGTCTGTTCGATTCCCCTGAACTGGCTGAACTAGTTCAGCGTCCGTGCAGAGGCAAACGACAAGAGCAGACGGCGATAGCAGACGACACTCCTCGTCCGCCTCTGCTCGCGGTACCATTTTTCGCAGCTCTTGCTCAAATGTCTGCAATGTTTAACAATAACGCCGATACGGAGGTTGCATTTCCTCTCATTTATGATAATAACGTACCCGCGGTGAATGCGGAATCGAGATCATAACCGGGGGTAGGAATTTGCTTGATTATGATATTCTGAAAGCGTTTTGGGCACCTGCTCGCGTAGGTTTGGCTCCCTGTGGTGAGTGTTGAAATATTGGCTCGCATAAATTGTTTCTTTTTGATGCTATGCGGAGATCCACAGTGTTGATATTCTTACTTACAGACACAGGAAAGGTATTGCCCTCATGATAGTCCCCGCCTTCAGTTGCTCTTGGATGCATACTGAAGATCCGATGCATTTCAGAGGTCTGGGATTTAGTGCGTTGACACTCGCATGTCCCCGTAGCTGAGCATAATACTGCATGCTTTGTCCGCTGGTATCAGTGGACGCCCACTAACGGGCCTGGGAAAAAGCGCCGAGAATCGGCATTTTTGCCGATTCTCGCTTCAACTTGACACCGAAGTTACGGTCGATAACAAGACGCTACCGTCAGGCCTTCCCGCCAGCGACTCCCAACGTAAAATCATCCTGATGCCGCGAACCTATCGTCGAAATGCAAAGATTCCCTTTGAGGGGCTTTTGCCGCTACCAGAACTTCCTGGCCGAATCGAACAGACCTTGATTATGCAGCGAAACCGAAACCAACAGCTAGGCCATCTCGAAATGATACCAGAACTTGTATTTAACATGCGTGCAGCCTGATATCTGTTTGACCCGCGTGTGAAAATGGAGCGTGACTACGATTCACCAAGCTCGTCCAAGTCAAGTGACGACATGCATTTGAACAGTTCGCCGTTTGCCTTCGGCCCGCGGACGTCGCCTCTGGGGGAACGACCCGCAGCCTCATCACCGATCCAGTGGATCCGCCGAAATATGTGCCCAGATGCCGCTTCGTGTACCTAGCTGTGCCACTTCAGAGGCGAAATCTGCATCCTTTGCTTTGCAAGCGCCCCTAGTTCGATCGGCGTTCGTCGCAGTGTTTGCGCGAAACAGCATACGTTTGCTTGAAGCTTATGGCTGTCTGCGAGTAATATCCTGCTAAAAGGCGGAACTTTTTCTGCACGTGCTTGGGAACTGCATTAAAAGAACCGTGTTTCAGTAGGGTACTGCCTAGGAGACTATACTGAGGGCAAGTTCGTCTGCTTCTTGCGCAGGGGGTAGCGGTGACGTCAGAACGCCGAGCCCTGATTGGCTGATCGCGACCCCCTCTTTGAGCGTCGTCTGCTCGCAACGTCGTCTGCGTCTGTCTTACCTTACCTGCGACTTTTGGAAGTGCAGAGGCCAGATTCACGAAACAATCCTACGCCAAAAATGTGCAAAAGACAAAACTTAAGAACAAATTTGTATTCACGGAACGAAATTTTCGTAAGTTTTGCGCAGGTTACGACGAAATCATACGACAGCTCCGAAGCTGTCTTACGCACTTCTTACGATCAAATCAACATGGCCCACGGACGTTTATTTTTCTACGTGCACTTTTCACGCGTCCCGACTTCAAGCAGCAAGAAAAAAGTAAAAAGTACTTGAAACAGACCACGACGAACAAGAACGCTGGATCCACAAACACCCGGGAAAAGCTCCAACGGCCACGATTTCACCGACAACGACCAAGCGAGCACGGCAGATAGGCCTAGCAGGCACTCCGACTTGGCGACCGTCTGTCCACGACCGGCTGGCGTGCTGAATGGAATATGCGGATGCCCGCGCGACCCTTGTGAACCCTTCCCGTCTTGTACTCTGATCGCTGGCCTCAATTTTAGAATAAGAGGTCAATTTCTTCCTCTTGTCATCTCCTTGTTTTCCGAGGCAACGATGACTCTCGCCGGTAAAAAAGCGGTGAATCTCCGACAGACGCAGGAAAGGTAAAGCAGCCATCGCTTTGACTAGCAGACGTAAAGCAGACGACGTTAACCGCGCCAACCCGCCGACGCCGTTAAGGAGTGAGGAGTCTCGCCGCACACGAAAGGAGGGAAAAAGTATTTGGAAGGGAACTTGCGGACTCTAAACACTCTCACTCTCGGTTCTTTGCAAACAAACCTCGGCGCCTCAGGACACCTCGCCAGGGAGTCATTTGACTTCCCTCCTTGATGCGCGTCTGCCAGTTGTGAGACAAAAACAACGTACCGCTCGAGTTATTTCGTCTGCCCTCTCTGAAAGGCGAAGTCGAGCTCGCTCGTAAAGACCTGCACTTCCGAAAGTCGCAGGAAAGGTAAGACAGACGCAGGCGATGTCGCGAGCAGACGACGTTGCAAAGGAGCAGACGACGCTGAGATAGGGGGTCGCGATCAGCCAATCAGGGCTCGGCGTTCTGACGTCACCGCTACTTCCTTTCTCATGCGCAGAAGACGAAAATGAGCCCACTTGCGAGGCGTATATAATTCGAAGCAAAATACAAGACACCCGTTGACCAACGCTTGTTATCCCCACCATCCGACAAACCTTTGTGTTTTGTGACGTCACGCAGCACCTACGGATGTCAGCCATTGACACTGGCGAAATTTGGTGTGCAGTTTCGTACATAGGCTCATGAAAGGTTTAATTAATAACGGGAGAGCATATACCAAAATAAAAATGATGTTTTTCTATATGAAGGCTCCCTCGATGTAACGAGCGCAACAACTTAGGTACTTCCGGTTTCGACCGGACAATCCCTTTAAGATGGGCTAGTCGGACGAGCATGGTGAATAATAGGATGGACGAGGAAATGAAAACGGGACTGGTGCTAGTCTCGTCTCTTGTTGGTCTCGTCTCTCTTTTGTGCTATTTATGGTCGATAATCGAGGAAAGTTGCTTCTGGAAGAAAGACGAGTGAGCGCCATACGGACGCAGGAGCTGTTTGACGTGATCCTGGACGAGAACCAGCTGGAGGAGGCGTGCGAACACCTGGCAGAGTTCCTGGAGACGTACTGGCGGGCCACCCACGAGAACCTGACGGAGAACTACGCCCAGCTGGTGGCAGCCACCCCGAACACCCCGGCCATCGTGGAGATCCCCGAACAGAGGGCCCCCTCCGCCCGGCTGGCAGAGGACCCGCTCCTCAAGGTGCATCTTCGTCCTTCTCATTCGCTAACCATGGGACGACTTTCTCTCCCGCGTGCCGTTATCTCGTAGGGAGGGTCCCGTTACGAAACAAAACCACTAGCTGCAGTATTGCTCTTTTGTTTTACTTTTTTCGCTTTTCTCTTTTTTGAGACGGGATGAGACTGGGGTAGATGCTTTTTTCTTTCAATAAGGGTTCGTTGAGAGAGGCTGCGTAAAAACGGCTGGGAATGAAAGGAAGAATACAATGCATTTAGGGCAAATCTGATGCAAGTAGACAAAAACTGATTTCACTTTTCCGCTCTAAAAGGTGAACTCGCAGGACCGAGTAATTTCGGAAAAATTACTCGACCACCGAGGAGTATGCCTCAAGCGTAGTTTCATGCGCTTCACATACTTCTTTTTGCGAAAGAGCACCCCCTCGATCCAGTCGGAGCGAGGGAAGCACAGCCCTGACCAATGGGGCCTTCTGTTTTGCTTGACATTGCTTTTGTTCGCCTTTGAGTCATTTGTATAGAAGCAGCTTTCCTCTTCCTCCCGCTTGTGGCTTCAGCAGTACCGCACGGAACTACCATAATGTCCAGAGTAATCGCCCACCGCCCCTGCCGCCGTAAATTCATAAGCGAAATAGGGTGGGCCGGGTTTTGGTGGGTGAGCGCAAAAGCTTTAGAAAAAGCGAAAAAAATGCTCATTTTTTTGTACATATTTAACGTGGCTGCGCAATAAATACATTAAACTGAAAACTCGAATTAATTTCATTGTTTTAAGCAAGAAATGCTCACGATTCTATCGCAAGGTTCGATGCTCGCATGCACGTGATGAACACTGCCGGTTGGCATACTTGATGCTGAGCTGGCGGCAGAACATTCTTTGCATGGGAGACCCTAAGCAAACAAAATACAGTGTAGACCGCATATAACGTATGTCTCGGGAGTCGCGAAAATCCGCACTATAAGCGGTACCGCACTATAACCAAAACATCAATTTTTCAGGCCAAAATACATGCCATCAGACAACTCACCTTTGTAAAAGAATTTATTTTATGTTAGATGAAAAATAAAGCTTAGTTTAAGGAAAGTCTTTATTTCACCAGACTAGTACAGTTCTGTCTCAAGTGTGTCACACATTTTGAAAGAAATGAGCGGCTTTTGCCTGGCGCAGCCTTGGCGTCGCGGGTTGCGGACGGACGTTGCGAGCGTTCAGGATTGCTAACCCTAATCACTTTTCTCCGGAGATAAAAACTCGTGAAAATTCGCATCCTTCATACGGTACGCGCCAGTAATACCTTGAACTTGAGCACACGCATGAAATGCGCCAAATAAGAAATCCGGGCGATGTTCGAGGACACAAATGCTTAGAAAGCACCACTGAAACACGACGACACGGGTGTTTCTGCCGTCTTGAGAGCGCCGCCACGACATCGCCGCACGAGTAGATGGATCTTCCCTTCTAGTACGTGCTGGGTTATCATAGCCACACGACGAAAATTCGCAGTCCAGGATAGCACTTTTACGCAGAAAGATGAGATGCACGCCGTCTACGACGACGATCACAACCGACGCCATGTTTGCGGAACAGAAGCAGCCGGCCCGCGACGGCACGACCGGTATGCAACGCGCGCGAACACTTCTCCTTGACCTGCGAGTGGTCTGTCGTTGCAGTTGTTTGTTTCTTTGTTTCCAATGCAGTGGAGGGACGCATGCACGTGAACGACTCGTGCGTGCGTCCCTTCGTCGCTATGGCAACTGAAGCGCCTCTCTTCGCTTCTTCCCGCGTTTTCGAGCAACCTCCTTGCCCCGCGAGTGCAGCTTGCGGCTCGCGCCGTCAGTTCCGTTATCTAGTGTCGCACAGGGAAGCGAGCTCGCTGCTCCGGTCGTCGGCGCGGTCGGCGGGCTGTGCCAAAAACCGCACTATTCGCGACTCCAGCAACCTATAGGGGGCGCCACCACCAAACAAACATGGCGGCTGAGTCCAGGTCGCGTCGGATCGGCCGCGCTGCCTGAATGGGTGGCGCATTCAATTTAACAAATTTTCTTTTGTTGAATGCCCAATTTTATGGGTATTTGAACTGAGACTGTTAAGTGTAGCCGGTGCGCATAAACTTGCCGAGCATTGTTTTGTTTTGCCGGTGTTTTTTGTTCTTTTCATGTCAAACTTTCGTTTCGGAGACTTCGATCAAACCCGAAACTATGGGCTTCGGAGAAACGGTAATAGACTCTAATTAGTTTTGATCATCTATGGAAAGCGGCGAGGGCTACAAAATTGTTCCACCGAGAGTAAGTTTTAGCTAACTCGCATGCCTCGACCATGCGATTTATCTGTCCGCGAAATTGAGCTTTTGTGCCTGTCCGCGTTTCAAGAAACAGCTCCAGTCGTGTGCTCGGTCAAGAACACAGGCTGCAGGAAAATTACAAAGATTAAGCAAGCGCTTCTTGAGCCAAGCAGCATGTCAACCCACTGGCGCTTCACTAAGCAAGTGATACTCGTATTTCAATTCAGGTTTTAGTAGCAATCGAGAAGTCATTTTGACGAATATGCGGATTATGTATTATATTACGTACTATGTCCCACTAAAGCGATATTAGTATATTCTTCGGGTTGAAATATGAACTTAGTTAACTAACTATTAGGTGAACTGCTGAATAAAAGTATATTTGACAGACAGAGAGAGCCAAATGGTTCTAGCCGGTAGAACGGAGGCGAGTGCAGACAAACTGAAGAGAGTCTTCATTGGAGATTCACGCAGAACCTCTCTGTGCATTGAACTTGACTTCGAACCCTGAACGGATAAAATGAGTATTTTTTGTGGCCGGTCAACCTGAGCAATGTAGACGTATATTGCTGCTGGCTTCGACAGGGGTTATAATATAAATATTGGAGGCGCGATAGATCCTAATGACGTGACAGCTTCTAACTTTGCGAGACGCGTCCCCCACCTTTTGAAAGCAGATAATTTCCCTCATTAATCATATGCAGCAAGCAGGTTTTCTGAATCAAGTAATTGCGAAATTAGCCCAATTCCTTCAATGTGATCTTTTTCGGCGAAAAGCCGCTAAGATGAATAGCCAACGCACCGGCCGGCGTTAGTGGCTAAATTAACCTGAAGCTAATCGAGCACGACCAAACTCAAGGAAAGCAGCTATCGAACCTTCCCATTCACTTGACTGCAACATTGGTGTTCCCTCCAGTGAAACACTTCGTCTGTCGACCTCAGTCCACTGTTTTACATCCTTATAAAGAAACCACTTATCAGTTACCAACCAGTCGTCACTTTGAATGTGATTAGAGACAGACGAGAAATCAAAACGTTTTTCTGTGATTCCTCCTCATCCAAAAAATGGAAAGCACGCGACCGTGTGTTGTGGAGTAAACCGGCTTTCAAACACGTGATGGAAAGAAACAATCTACTGAGGCTTCACCACACTAATGAACACTCAAACAAACTTAAGAAATTTTCGGACCTTCGTCAAATTACATTGCTCGCCCCCGCGCCGACAGCACGTGTCCGCGAAAGCCATCGGAGACGCGGCGGGGCGCGGAGCGACCTGGACCGACTGGTTCCCGGTTTTCCCGCTTGGCGGCGTCCGTTTTGCTGGAGTCGCGAATAACCGGTATCTCCCTTCGCGCGCCTGCATTTTAAGCGGTATGTAATTACATGGAGTTCTATCGGAGGTGAACCGGTGGTTTAAAAAAACCGCGTTATACCCGGTCCTGCACTATAAGCGGTTACGTTGTAAGTGGTCTATACTGTAAAGCACTGCCAACGTATATAGAACGGGTGCACTGGCTCGGGAACAGTATGCATGCTTGAAGGAGGCTCACTTTTGAGCACATCTTCAAGTTCCGGGTTAATTTAATGAGCAGTCGATGTCGGAGCTTACATTGAATGATGTGACATCATCCTCAGACTCCTCGCTGCTTGTTTCATCCAAAAATAGCATAGCCAATGCTGTTGAATGACGCGATTCACTACGTTCTTCCGGGAGCACCCGACGCGCTCACGACACCATTCTTGACAAGTTTTGGTTCTGTTTCTCGCCAGTGATTTATTGCCGCTGCATGGCGGGAAAAAGAGAAACTACATTGAAGGGGAATCTAGTTATCCGGCTACCCCCAGGTGGTGCTACGTGTTCCAACATGTCAAATTTATGTTTGTGCGGCTTGTGTGATCCATCGATCTTGGGTGATGAGTGTCCTATATGGGCTTCCTGAGGAAAGAGTAAAAGATGTCTCGTAATTGTTCGCTCCTATTGTAATGCCCGCAGGGACCTTGAGGTATACTTAATGGTGGCGATAAAGAGGTGCGACAAAATTGCTAAGGTTCAGGCTCAATGAGGTTTGACTTTTTCCGTGTTTTAACCGCCAAAATTCAACTTGATGCACATGCGCGGAAATTGGGAACAAGCCAACGCGGCGGAAAAGGGTAACAAACTAACTAAATCATGAAAAGACGCTATCTTTGTTTTTATATCGTGTACCGTAAAATACCGGGCAAGTGCCCCTTTCAAAATTTCAAGATAATTATGAAAAAATGGTAGATGGGCGCTTGTCCAGTCATCAATTCTACATATAAATGTGCTGTGCATATTTTCTTAGATCTTACAAGTTTGGGTATGGGCACTTCATGTGGAATGGGCAGATGCGCGGTATTCTACGGTATGTGTAGGCAATAATTGTTGTGAAATTTAAGGTCAACTATAGCAAATATATTTTTCCTAAATTTGTTCGCATGGAACGACGTTCGACGTAACGGCAAAGAAGTCAGGCAACACCGTTCAAAAGTGTTGTTGCCAATAGTTTGCAAGTTCGGTGACCCGGTCGAACCTCGGGTTCCCAGAACGCGTCTCGGACCGTTTACCATCCGATCCCGCATCGAAAATGGTCCCCGAGTAAATTGCGTTTAGGAGTCAGCATGTCACATAGAAATGCCGGCAAAAGAGCCTACGCGACTTTTGCGGGCGAAGCATGGTGTCGACGATTTCCAACTTGGGAACGTCGGACAATTGCGATTTCAGTCGGCGTCTGATCACACTTTTCCATGGCGCTCAATTCGCAAAAAACAATTGCTGGAAAAAAAAAAAAAAAAAATTCCACGTAGGATTGCATCATTCTACTCTACAGTGGAGGCGCTGCTCTCCCACTCCCCGTCTTTCTCACACAAAGCGCTCTTTCGCTCCCCTTCCCCTCTGTAGACCACTGATGTTCCGAAAAACCCGCGCAATCGTGCGGAGAGCGCTCTCCCTTCCTCCCGCTCTGGGAGCTGCCGTTGCGAAATACCCTTGCCTCCCTACCGGCACCGCTCAAAGAATGTATGCAAGCTGTTTGTTAGAGCGCTTCTGCGGAACAGCTAGCGTACATATTTTCGCGATCATTCGCAATTTTGTTTTTGTCTGTTAGCGGGTGACGTACGGCGTTTTCTCGCTCTATTTCCGCCCGTGAACGGCGCTTCGTAGCAGACGAACCCTGCTCTTGGATTTGCATTAGCGGATCGAGTGCTACAAACGCCATCCTCGCTTGCTCCGCGAGACGCAAATTAGACATTGCACTCGCGACGACGAAAGCGGGAGACCAGGCGCCTCATGTTGGGTCGGGCAAAAGTGGACGAGGAAGTCCCGGAGATGAGGGCCCCCTCTCGCGACCCAGGAGGAGGAGGAGCAGGAGGTCTCCGCACGCTCCCGGGAGGGCCAGTGGCGGCAGCAGCGCATGCAGCAGGAGCACCAAGTCCGCCAGCAGCACCCCCTGCAGCAGGCGGGGGGCGGCAGCTCCGGGCTGGGTCGCCCCGTGGCGCCCCAGGTGCGCACCAGAGCGCAGCACCACTCCTACCCCGGGGAGCGCAGGCTGCCCAGGCAGCCCGGAGAGGTGGGTGGCACAGGCTCTTATTAAGCACGTGCGCTTTTTGCCATACTCCAACTGCAGCCAATGCTACCATCCTGTCGAGCCAAGCAAATGGAAGTCCATCGTCATGTCATCTTTGTGCATTTGCTATCACTGGCTAAATCGGTAAAAAATCACGCTGCATTCACTGCGCTTGATTGATCTAAAGCAAATGCACAAAGAAGAAGAGCACCGGGACAATGCGCTTTTGGCATTGCTCAGTCAACTCTGTCGGATCATAGTACCGGCTCCTCTGAAAGGGATCTTCTACTGGGTGTCCCATGGAGCGGCCAGGCTCTTTAAATCGACCGCAAAATTCGGTTTCTTAACCTACCGCGCTACGACTTTGTGCAACGTTGCCCACAGATGGTGCACTTTTTTTGTAAAATTTGCAAAGAGCAAACTAACCTGAGGAAAAAGTAAAGAAAGAAAAAGGCTTCGCTCCTATGGAAATGCAGCAAAGCCACCGGTCTTCAAACAATATGGCGCCTTTTCGCACGGGAGGCAAGAGATGGCGCAAGCGGTCGCGACGCCAACTGCCGCCAACGGACGAGCTTACGGCGCTAAGAGCCGGCGTCTTTAGTAGACAATCTTTTCGACTCAAAAGCGGCGCGCGTTCCGCAGGCGGCGACAGTCACAGAAACAAAAACGGGCGCGGTAACAACAAGGAACTGCAAAGGAGCCGACATAAATACCACGAAAAGAAACAGTTTGAATAACCGGACAAACCATTTTTTGTTAATCGATTGTGTTTATTAGTAATTAAGGATGATAAAATAATGCATTGGTAACTGATATCAGAAAAGCTTCCGCCGCTTTTGAGTCGAAAAGATTGTCTGCTAAAGACGCTGGCTCTCGGCACCGTATGCTCGTTCGTTGGCAGCAGTTGGCGTCGCGACCGCTTGTGCCATCTCTCGTCTCCCGTGCCAAATGGCGCCTTATTGTTTGAAGACAGGTGGCTTCGCTGCGTTTTTAAGGAGCTAAGCCTTTTTCTTTCTTTACTTTTTCCTCAGGTAAGTTTGCTCTTTGCAAATTTTACAAAAAAATGCACCATCTGAGGGCAACGCTGTGCAAAGTCATAGCGCGATAGGTTAAGAAACCAAATTTTGCGGTCGATTTAAAGAGCCTAGCCGCTCCTTGGGACACCATTTTGAGTTCTATGGCCATTTTGAATTCTATGTTGGCTGCAAATGGATTGGCTTGATTTGGCAGCGCTACTTGAGTACTCCTGAGTCCTACCACTGGGTGACGCTATGCTGGCCCATGTTTTCCATTTAGCTGCACATCGTCATCATCATTATCATTATCATTTTGCTTTGTTTTCTTCCATCCCTTCGCGCCTCCGCCCCACTTTCGCGTCGCCATTTTGCACTCATGGATTTGTGTCTCTCATCTCGTTCCTCGCATCAGCAGAAAATGAAACTCCGACGACGACTACCACCCGCAGCCATTGACAGCGGACATTGCGAACGCATTAACAATGCTGTTGAATGTGTACGACGAGAACACGACGCTCACACAAATGCAAGCAGACATCATTGCAAGCAGGCGTAACATGAAGCAAGCCACTATTGACGGCTTTTTAAAACCTGCTTAAGCGTAATAAAAGCTCGGACTGCTTGATTATTCGGTCCATTTCGGGGGTCCCTTCCGAGTCTGAATAATCGGTCAGCGACTGTACCGTAAAATACCGCGGAAGAGCCCACTTTAAAAAGGCCGCATCTCTTTGTGGTGAATGATGTTGATTGGGGCAAAGCTCTGGTGGTGCTGATGATACTGATTTTATTGTTCATAGGTAGTGCTGATGGTGCTGATCTTTCTTTTTGTTGCTCATAGGTAGTGCTGAGTTCCGGGTTGTGTTTCGCCGTCATTACTACTGCTTTATGGTCGGTGAAATGCGGAGCCAGTAGTTCTAGCGGATCAGCTTGGATCCGCTAGAAGCCGTGGGAACGCATCTTCACCGCTTAAGTCAACGGTCCATGTCAGAAAGAGAATGTGTGGTATGGATCGTGGTGATATACGCAGTTGAGCATTTGACCGCAGCGCCCTCTCATCTATAAACGTTGAGCCAATGCATGCAAAGTTTAATGCAATTATATACGCATTTGACCGCAGTGCCCTCTCCTGTATAGATGTTGAGTGGCTACATGCAGCTTTGGAGTGTAGCGTAGTGGTTAAGAAGTCTGCCTCGTGGTTAAGACGTCCTGAGTTCGAACCCCCATGCGGGCGTACATTCTTTTTTAAAAGTCTGCCGATCCCGGAGTCAGTGCAATCAATGTGAGCATGGATGCCAGACAAGGCTAGACCCTAAGGAGCTTTGCCCCTAACAAGTGCCCATGATTAACATTTCCGAACTTGGCAATTCTTCAAATTATATGTTAAGCGCCCACCCTGTCCAAAGTGCCAGCATCAGCCGAACAACATTCACCCCCTCGCAGTATCCACGAGGCTGCCAGCAGGGATGAAGGAGATATTACGTGAAAATAAACATGCTTTCTTAAAAGCTCTTTATTGGCCACCATCTTGGGTTTAATTTTTTCCACAAATTCAATGTTTTATGGACAAAAGTTGCATGAGAACACGGGAACCTTTTAGGCACTCGTAATACTTGAAAAACGACCTGGTACCAATAAGATCAAAATTCTGGTTCCAAACATAAAGATGCCCCAATCAGTGTGGCTGTGATGGAGGTATATTCAAAATAAAACTGTATTTTCAGATTATATTTTTACAGGAAGCTTGGGTCTTTGTAATTGAAGGACATCCCTAATTTGGGTTCGTTTGGTTTTCCCTGACTTTGATAAAACAGGCTGATTTTGGAGGTTTACAAGTACAGTAATCTCTCATTATAACGAAGTCAATGGGATGGCAAGATAATTTTATATAAGTGGTAATTCTATAAAAGCGATAGAGCCAAAAAAAAAAAAAAAAAAAAAAAAACCCCAGTGCCAGCAGCCTCGAAGGTGGACGGTAACACTGCGGTACACTCTGACCATAGATTTAATCGAACAAACCTTCGTTATGGAAATCTCGCAGCAGCTTGACAGAGTAAAAATATAATTAAGTTGAGTTTGCAGATATTTTCATTCGGGCATCAGCTCTCCTCAAACTGCTTCAGGCATCTTAAGAACACTGACACTGCTGCTGCACTCCACTTTGTTTCGAAGCAGTTGTAGAATGTTTCATGTCTCTGCAGTCGGCGTTTTCCGAGGTGCCTCTCTGCCGTCGCTTTGTGTTAACCCTGGCCGCATGCAAGGTCTACGATCGCAGCATCCATGGCAGGAGCAGCAACATGAACGAATCAGTTACCCTCGGTGGCTTTGCCAACATGTTTTCACACACTCTCGTAGAGATCGTCGGAGCTATGGAAATCGTACGCCGGCTCGGCAAGCTTGCTCGCAAGACAAAATCCGACTCGCGCGAAGCAATCGCCGACCTTTGGCAACCTTTCATCTTCGGGTCGCATGCTCGCCTTCTCCTGAATGAGAAGCTTCTCAAACTCGTCCAATGTGCCTCGCTTGTTCTGCAAAGTGGTGGACAGTGTCAAACAGCCGATGCCGAAATGTCGAATGCTTTGGCGATTTTGGACTTGGGCCGGCCACTTTTCTCAGCCTAACGACTTTCGGCAAACACTCCCGATCTCTCATACGGTGCGCGTGTAGCACACAAAGCCCCCGACGCCACATTTTTCGATATTCGTAATAGGCGTGCTTGGCCGCCGATACACTTCAAATAATTCGGTTAAAAACGCGTGCATTCGGGTAGGACCACGTTGAACTTTAATAAAAGCAATAATCCGAAAAAAGTGATTTCGTTATAACAAGGGATTACTGTACGTAGATGACATTAAAATTTCTGTCTCGTCCTGTTATCCATTAATATGTGAACGTCCGGTCTAACTGGCAATTAACAGTTTACAAAAATGGGCCAACTCAAATGGTTTTTGATTTTCTCCGGAAAAAATAGGTTGCGTGTGTTTCTCTTGCCGGCGTGTAGTTCTGCCAGAACCTTGCTTAAAAACGTTTGGAGTGCCAGTAGCCACATCATTTGACGTTTCTGGGACTCATATTTGACTCAAAATTAACTTCCAGATATTAGTAACTCGGATGTCTCAGATCGCTGAATATACTTTACGTTCTATCACACGTATCTAGGGCTCCTATAGACCATGTTGCACATATTGCGTGGTTGTTCACTCCGGGCTCGATTATGGTAGCATTGCATATGTGGCTCTGCCTTGGAAAGCAAAAGCTTGGTCCGAGCTTCAGATATTGTTAGAGTTAGGCTATTATCATATTTAATTGAACGCAAGTAGTTACCCAAACGTTTGGCGATGCTGATTGTCATGAACCCGAGCACTCGACTCGGGGTTAAGAAAATCGCTTACGTCACGGTTTCACGTGACTCTCGGTGGAAATCGTGATGTCATGTTACGTCGCGCTGTCAACAAGGTTAATACCTGAAGTGACTGTAGACCATGGCGTGCTGGCGAACAAGAAGTGCTTTATTCCTGAGCGCAGCGTTTTTATCACAGACATGACGTCACGAGCCGGGCGGCGCTTCCGCGATGACTCAGTCGCGATAACTCAATCCGCACGCTACAACATTTCCTTCCCCCTCACGCAAAAAATGTTCATTTCCTAAAGTCCTCGGGTTTAAAACGGTCAGGCGGCTTGCATGCGCGAGAAGTTCGTCGAAGGGGTTGCTTCTCCGCTGTCGTAGACGGAACCGGCGTTGCTGCAGTAGGTGTCGCCGGTCCTTCCCGGGCGGGGTCTGCGGGTGGCGCTGGTGCTGTTGCGTCCGGCGTCGGCGTCGTACCAGCCGCGTCTGGAGGTGGCGCCGCTAGCGTCGGTGCCTTCGCACTGGGTGGTGCTGACGGCACCTGGGCTGGAAAGCTCGTGGGTGGCGGTATCGATGGATTGTCATCCACAGTCGTACTGCCCGGTCTCACGATGGGTTCCGCGTGTCGAGGACGCAGGTGGTCA